AGTTTGAGGACGCCTGATCTGGGCCATGTTCATCCGACAGTCGTCTGGCTTCAGTGAAGAAGTGTTTGGTGGAGGTGAAACTAACCCCTTTTATTCTTTTATTCTTTTATTCCACTTTGCATTGCTATAAAAGAAAACTGAGGCTGAGTAATTCATAAAGAAAAGAATCTTATTTGGCCCATAGTTCTGCAGGCTGTACCAACTGCAGATGGTACCAGCCTCAGCTGCTTCTGTTGAGAGCTTCAGGGGCTTCTGATTGTGGTGGAAGGAGAAGGGAAACAGGTGTGTCACTGGCCAGTGAGCACAGGGGGCTGCCCAGCTCTTTTAAACAACCAGCTCTAGTGTGACCTAATAGAGCAGGAGCTCACTCATCACTGCAAGGAGGCTTCAAGCCGATCAGGAAGGGTCTGTCCCCCGGACCCAAATACTTCCCACCTCCAACACGGGGGAACAGATTTCAGCATGAGATTTAGAGGGGACAAAGATCCACAGCATAGCAGCCCCCATTTGGAGATGACAAATCAAAGATCCCCGTCCCCCCAAAGACTCAGAATGTGTGAGGATCCATACCGCCCCCATCAGTCACTGTTTCTGAAGGCTCCTCCTGTGTGAATCTTCTCTAACTTCTTGCTCCCCATACTTGCCTCTCTCCTGCCATGACTACAGTATTTTGGTAAAAGTGTGAACCACAGCATCTCATACACACACATTTCTGAATTATTTCATGTACTTACATCTTGGTGCCCAGAACCATTTCCTGGAAGAAGCTGTGTCTTGTGCTTCTTCCGTGACCTTTACTGTACCTAAAAGAAGGGCTTGGCCTGTCATTGTTAGTCTATTGGCAATGGAAGATTAATCTCAGAAAGTCCTAACATTTTTATGCCCTATGAAACAGTCATAAGATTAATAATATTTTAATGTCTGGAAAACACTTTGAAATACACAGAGAAAGCCAAAATGTCATTATGTATAATATTATTGAATTGACAGGAATGGTCACAAGCATTTATAGCAGTGTTCCTACTACAATGGTATGATTCTACTTTTCTGTCATCTTTAATAAGAGATGTCCTGACTCCAGTGGGGATGGTGCTAATCGGTTCGGATGGAATTACCCAGTGCATCCAAGCACAATAGGCTTAGCTTACAGGGGTACCATTTATCACTTCTACTTTAAAGATGGCTTTTCTTTTTCCTAAATGAATTCCATTTGTCACATGGGAAGGCCTCCAGTAGAATCCCGGTGCTTCTGAAGAATGAGGCTTTCAGTTACCCTCGATAGTTTTTTAAATTGATGACTCACCTGCACTTAATATGCTCCATCTTTAGACTCTCAGGCTGAGGTCACCCTGAGCAAGGCTGCCCAGTGAAACCTCACACCACCAAATCGGTCAGCGTGCTGAGAATGGTATGTCTTCACTAAGTTTAGGAGGCAATAGAGAGACAGGTTGCTTTCTGATTAAAATCAGGACCAGATCTGATTCTTTGTTGCATCTTAGGTTTCAGAATCTCATGTGTCCAGTAGTATTGTCAGTATGTTGGCAAAGAGCTTTGGCGTCCGAGTTTCATTGTCTCAGCCATAATACTTTTAACGCTCCTAATGGAATCACAAAGTTGGCTTCTCTGCAGTGAGAATTAATGTGCCCAGTGGCATTATAGAAGAGGACATAAGAGTTTCATTGAGAAATAGAAAAAAAATTATTAAAGTAAAATCTCATCAAATCTTTTTATTATTTTAAGGGATTCTGGACATGGAAAAGTACTAGACGTAGGGGTTATATGTGAGAGAAGGAGCTTTCCCCCTAAATGGCTGAAGCCTGTACTTTTCTGGTGAAAGGGGTCTCCACTACTTCAGTAAAGACAACTATATCTGATATATCTGTGCAGATATTTCCTAATCACTGTACATGTGCTCTTGTCACATACACGGAGCCATTTCAAATAAAATTAGAGTTTGTACACATACATGTTATGAGAATGTACGCTGGGTGGAGCAGGACTGGGGGATGAGTATGGGATTTCAGAAGGTCTTCCAAGAGAGATGCCAGGGAGACAGCGCCAGATCTGAAGCTCAGGGAGGAGGTGCTGTCCAGACCTGTGCTGTCCAGTAGGACTTTATTTATTTATTTATTTATTTATTTTTATTGTTGGGGATTCATTGAGGGTACAAGAAACCAGGTTATCCAGTAGAACTTTCTTTGAAGAAGGAAGTGTTATATATGTATATATATACACCCTGTCCCTATGTCTAGTTACTAACCATATGTGGTTTGTGAATGCTCGAAATGTCATTAGGCTGAGAAACAGAATTTTAATTTTATTTAATGCTAATCAACCTAAATATCAGCAGACACATGAGGCTAGTGGCTACTGTATCAACCAGCACGAATACAGAGCAAACAAACAAGGCCTGCATCTGAAGCCAAAGGACAAAGGATAAGAGGAAAAATTAAAACCAAGGACAGACCCTTAGAGCCTACCTGTGGTTAAGGATGGGCCCTACCTGTGGTTAAGGACAGGCTCAGAGAATTGACCAAAGAGGAAAAGAAGACATGGTTAAAGAGAAAATGCTCAGAAAGGACCCTGCTGTGTCACAGATCAGCAGGGGAGATGTTTAAGTTCTCAGCGCTGCTGCTGAGCCAGGGTGGTTGGCCTTGGGAGGATGTGGTTTCAAAGGGATGGAGAGGGTTGATAGCGGGCTGCTGGTGTGCAGAAGTGCTCGGGCAAACTCCACATTTGACAAGCTCATGGATAGAGAAAGAGGCAGTATGTGAGGGAATAATAGGTGCAGGGAAAGACTTTTTGTTTTGTTTTTGTTGTTGAGGGTTTTTTTGGGAAAAGGACATTTAAACGCTTTGCAGATGTTAAATGTAGACTTCCCTTCTCCTAATCCTCAGCCCTACCCTTGCTTTCTTTAGCCCCCACAGATGATTTGGAGTAGACGTATTTTGCCTGGGAGATCGAAGCCTCGGCTTCTCTCCATAGCAGAAGCCTCCATTCATTGCCTGGCCTTCCTCCCCGTCCAGCATCACTAAGAGTCAAGTGCCCCTTTCTGTGGAGGCTCGTTCTGTTGACGTGATCCTACTGCCTTCCCAGATTGACAGACACCGCGCCTGCCCTTCCCGCCTGGGCCTGAATCTCCCTCTCTCCGGTCCCTAGGGTTTGCATCACCAGCTTAGTAGGAGGAGGCCTGGAAACTTTCCATGTATAGGGAGCTAGATTGATTGAAGTTCCTGAGGCCCTTTAGGCATGAAATTATTGTCAGAAAGTCTCCACCTAACCTGCAGGCATCTGGACATAAATGTTTGGGTCCCTTTTGTCTAATCTTCCTCTGACTACATGTTTGTTTCTCTTTTCTTCCTTCATCCAGTTCCGGGCCTTAGATCCTCACATAGGTACATTCATCTCCGACTTCTCTACATTGTTTGACTATTTTAAATGAGACTTCTACAGGTCCGTGTGTTTCTTTTTAAGAACTATTTTAAGGCTTGGAGCCTGTAGCTCAAGTGAGGGCGCCGGTCACATACACCAGAAGTGGTGGGTTTAAACCAGCCCAGGCCAGCCAAACAACAATGACAACTACAACCAAAAAATAGCCAGGCATTGTGGCGGGCGCCTGTAGTCCCAGCTACTTGGGAGGCTGAGGCAAGAGGATTGCTTAAGCCCAAGAGTTTGAGGTTGCTGTGAGCTGTGATGCCACAGCACTCTACCAAGGGTAACAGCTTCAGACTCTGTCTCAAAAAAAAAGAAAAAAAACCCACTATTTTAAATCACAGACTTCTTGATGGATAGGCAATGTTTATAAAGCACTTTGATAAATGCTTTTTGAAAATTACTTATTGGTTAATAAAAAGGGTTTTATTTTCTGAAATAAAAAAATAGATTACCAGTATATTTTTTTAAAGAATTATATGTTAAATCCAGAGGTTTGGCTTTGACAGAATCTTCCTCATAATGACCGATGTGGGAATGTTCCGAGGAAGCATCAGGTCACGGTCAACGCTCTGGCTTTGTTTCACAGTACCCACCCTGGCATCTCTTAATGTATTTTCTCCTGGGATGTGTTAGGCCACCTTTAATGGCAGAGCTGTCTCCCAACTAGGGACCAGCTGGAACCCTGCCCTGAGAACATAATCTCTTGAGCCCAAGGTGAAACGAGAGGATGCCTGGAATTTCCTTTAAAATGCTTCAGTTCCTCCTTTCAAAAAAAGCATACGAAGAGATAGATAGGTGGCTCATGAGATCCTTCTGTTTACTTTGGTAGCTGTTTATAACCTTTCCATAATATGTGTGCAAAGTTACAAAAAGATAGGACATGATACAAGAAAAATAATAGTTGTTTATACTTGTCCTTCCTGTGCGGCCTCATATAAGCCAGGATTGTCATTATTTTATTTAATAATCACAATAAGTCAGGAAGTTAGATGAGGAATAAGCAGGTTCAGAAGGTTTAAGTAAACTCCCCCAAGAGCCCTGCCTTGTAAAGGGGGCCGTACCTTTCTGATACCAAAGCCAGGGCTCTGAGCTATCACACTGTTTTAGCATTTTGCTTTTTAATAATTCTACCTTGTGCTAAAGACTGAAAGTTAGTGATTTCAAATCACCTCCAGTTAACACACGTGCATAGAGGCCTACTGTATGTTAGAAGGCTAAAGTGCTAGTCTTTGTTTTAGCAGCAAGCAGAAGAGCGAACTCAGACTGAAAAGAGAATCCTATTCCACAGCCGAGAAGAAACAGCAATTATTTGTCAGCAGGACTTTTCCCCATACAAATGACAAATTTTGATGTTTACAAAACTCGGGATACTTTGCTGGCCTCTAAATCACAGCTGGAATTGAAGTTGAGTTTCCCTTCACAGGTCTACTCACCCCCCAGCTGGATTTTGCTCCTTCTTCACGTTTTAACAAGGTAGACAATGCAAATCACTTGTAATGACAAGTCGTGACTTAGGCCAATGCCATCGTCAAATTGGCAATTTAAAACATTGTAAAATAAAGTAAAAGACTATACTTTCAGGGGTCGTTGTTATAGTCTGTTACTAGAGGAAGTTTCTCTGAACGTGCAGAGCCCTGGAAACCTCAGGGAGAGACACAGCGTTCTCTCCCGGGCGTGAAACTGGTCTTAGTGTTGGGTCACTGCCACTACCATTTGCCACTGATGGTCCTTCTTCTCTTCCTTTGGGGAGAGTAAGGACAGAACGCAGTCTGATGCATCCTTCTGGTTTATACTGTGACTTCATATAAAGCTGTTTTCTTACAGTATTAAATGTTTTTAAGAATAAATGCAGAGCAGCGTATCTAGACCATGTGGACTTACCTGACGGTGCCCAGATTAGCGAGGTGTCGCCGTGCCACACCACTTACCACTCTGAGCACCTGCCTGGACCGGTCTTTAACCTCTTTTTTTATTCCCTTCTCTCTTCTGAACAGTTCCCTCGACACTCTTGAAAGCCATTGGGCAAAGACTTGGTAGATAAGGAATGGCCCTTCCTTAGGTATTTTCTTCCCTACGATGTTCTCTCTTTTTGGCCCGAGTGAGCCTCAGGAGACCTCCTGGTGCCGTGGTGGTGGAGAGTTTGTTCTGAACCTTGTGTGACCTTTGGCATCTTTGAGTTTGCCAGGTGGGGTTACAAGTGCAAAGGAGGTGGAATGTCTTTCTTTGCCAAGTTAACTGGCCCAGCTGGGATTTGAAATTTGACTTTCTAAGCACCAAAAAGGGCACTTTAGTAGACCAGCCTCAAACAAGTCTCAAGGAGACTCATGTCATGTGGCTTTCTTTGTCATGTGTCCATGGACACATCCTTGGGCTTCAACAGTGCGTCTATTCGTACCGACAGGAAAGGACTTCTGCTGACCTTTCCACACAGCAGCCCTTAATCTCTAGGAATACTGACACAATGTTAAACATTTCCTGACCAGGGGCCTGAGAGGAAACGTGAAACAATGTGCTCAAACTTTAGTAGTGGCTCTGCCCTCCCCCTGCTCTTTAAAAATAGTAATAATAAAAGCACATTTGCAAATCCATAGTGCTATGGGGATTAGCTAATTAGTGAGAAAATCAGCAATGAAGAAAGGGTCTCTATGTTCCTAAGCAGATGTGGGGAACGGTCTCACAGACTCAGCACCCACACTTACACCAGTGAAAGTGAGTGACTCTTGGACAGTGATGTTTTTGTTTTTGAACATTAAATGCGCCTTGCCTGAGATTGCATGTTGTAGCTCCTGCTAGCTCAGAAGAAAACACACACACACACACACACACACATACACATAGGCTTTATGTTTCTTTGTATGTTACATATAAAAAATACACACACACATACTTGATTATGAAACTTTTTTAACCTGAAAACAAACCATGTACGAGATGAACTGTGCTTTGAAATACTCAAAATATGCAGTCTGGGTGAAGTGTGAGCACAAGCTCATAATCTCAGCACTCTGGGAAGTGGAGGCCAGAGGCTGGCTGGACTTTGGGAGTTTGAGACCCGCCTAAGCAAGAGTGAGACCCTGTTTCTACTAAAAAAGAAACAGAAAACTAGCCAGGCATTGTGTGGTGCACGCCTGTAGTTCCAGCTACTCAGGAGGCTGAGGCAGGAGGATGGTTAAGCCTAGGAGTTTGAGATTACTGTGGGCCAGGCTGGGGCCATAGCACTCTAGCCTGGGCAACAGAGTGAGACTGTCTCAAAAACCAAAACAAACAAACAAACAATAAATAAATAAAACCAAACCAACCAAACAAAAAAGTGCATGCCTTTTCCTGTAATGCAGTGGTTCTCAACCTTCCTAATGCCATGACCCTTTAATACAGTTCCTCATGTTGTGGCGAACCCCATCCATAACATTATTTTCATTGCTACTTCATAACTGTAATTTTGCTACTGTTATGAATCGTAATGTCAATATCTGATATGTAGGATGGTCTTAGGCAACCCCTGTGAAAGGGTTGTTCGATCCCCGAAGGGGTCATGACCCACAGGTTGAGAACCGTTGCTTTAATGGAATGTAAACTCTTGGCCTTGTGTTTAGAAAGGACAAGCATTTGGGTGCAGATTATTCCAATGTTGCATACAAAGTGTGAGTCCTAAGCATGTATTATCTTTGCAATATCTGACATGACTTGCTCATAGATTGTTGTGACATAATATGTCAGTTTGAGGCGTCAGGTATGCTGACTGCAGTTGACCTGGGTAAAGACCTCTGCTGAGAGGACACACGCACTGAATCAGGGATACTTCCAGGGTCACCAAACAGTGGAACATGGGGCGTTCTGAACATCGCACACCCTCTCCTTTTCTCTGGAGCTGTAAGGGCTTCCCTTTGTCATCTGTTAGATAGGGTGTAAGATCCCATCCCTTCCTGAGTGTCACTGTCACACCACAGTGATTTTCACAGGCATCACACTATTGTCTACCTACAGCAGAGATGGGATCAACAGCCTGGTCATTCTTATTATGATTATCTACCACCACGTGACAGCCGATCCAACTGACAAGGGAGTAAGTGACAGGCCAGGAATGCTGGCCAAGCAATGGAGAGAATGTGGGGGAAGGGTAATCAACAGAGTCTTGACCTGACACAGCTAGAGGGACGTGATTTTTGCCACCTCTGCTCCAGTTCAGGCACCCCCACCACCCTTCCATGGTTTATCCCAACAGCCTTCTCTGACTGGTCTTGTGGCTCTTCCGTTAATTCTCCATATCACAGCAAGAGTTAGCCTTTAAAATACAGAATCAGTCAAGTCTTCCCTCTGTTTATGACACTCAGAGGTTCTCTATTGTCCCGAGAGGCGAGACCAGCCCCTGCTCACCACGCCAGGCCATTTTTCCCTGTATCCCCCCACCTGTGGTCCTATCCTCCAAACTGTAGTCCCCTTCCATAGTATTGAGAGCCTCATTACTGGATATTATTCTCTTTCATTTTGTGTAACACAAGCGATTTGAAAGAAGAGGCACAAAGTCCCCGCATGTCCAAGGTTGGCTGATGAGCACAGTGCATTGATTCTCTTCATTGATTTTTGTCTTACTGTATTTTTAATGTTGTTTCCACATTAAGTAGAAGGTCGTTAGGCAGGGAAAGCAACTTTCCATCCGAACTCCTACCGTTAGGCTAATGCTTAAAGGCTTCTTCCATTATTTCTTGTCACTCGCTCATGTGTTTCCTCCGGGACTCAGGGGAGAGGACTTTTGTCCTGTCCAGGTGCGCAGAGATTTTTATCTTTTCATAAAGTATCATTCCTGTATCACTTCCAAAGTGGAGTCTCATTATAATCACATGCTCAGGGATCATGTCGTAATTATAAAATAAGGTAAATGTGTGGATGGAGACAGGCTTTGATTCTGTCGTAAACCTCAGTTTGAAAATCAAGCAAAACATGAAAATATAATTCTCAGGGTAAAATTTATGTATTTAAAAAAAATTAGTTAAAAATATTTAGAATTTTGAATGAGTAATACATACATGTAGTTGAAAAGTTTAAAAATATAATGTCAGCATGTATGTATACTATATTCTCTTTTGCTTTTTACACAAATGCAGGCATATTGTGTATACTGCTCTGAAACTGGCCTTTCTCAAATATGCCTTGAAATCCCTGTTAGTACGTAAGGAGATTTTACGTTCTTTTAAATGGTTGTGAGGATATGATATAGTTAAGCACACATAGTCGTCTCTGGTTGATGGACATTTAAGCTGTACCCTGTTTTTTGCCTTCGCAGTCAATGCTGCGTGGATACATTACACATGTATCTTATCACACAGGTACAAGTGTTTCCTTTGGTTAAATTCCCAGACCGGAACTGCTGAGTCAAAGCATATGCAGATTTTTACGCTGCTTTTCAAGTCTGTTTTCTTACTCTGTTGCCCACACAGTACTTTATCGATTGTTTTACCCATCTGATGGTGTAATTCTTTTATCTGATAGGTAAAATGGATATTTCCTAATAGCTTTAATTTATATTTCTCTTAAGGGGAAACTTGAGCACCTTTTCAAATATTTTTAGAGATATTTGTATTTCATTTTCTATTACTAGTCTGTCCTTATTCTTTGCTCATCGTTCTATTGGAGTGTTGGTCTTTTATTGATTAATAAGAACTCTTTATACAGTAAAAAAATAATTCTTTGTGATATCAGCTGTAAATCAAGGATTTTTTTCTATCATTTTTTTTTTTTTTGGAGACAGTCTCACTATGTTGCCCTTGGTAGAGTGGCATGGCATCACAGCTCAAAGCAAACTCAAACTCTCGGGCTAAAGCAATTCTCTTGCCTCAACCTCCCAAGTAGCTGGGACTACAGGCGCCCACTACAACACCTGGCTATTTTTTGTTGCAGTTGTTATTGTTGTTTAGCAGGCCAGGCCCAGGCTCGAACCCGCCTGTTTGGCACCATAACCACTGTGCTCTGGGCACTGAGCCTCTATCACTTTTTAGTTTTGACTACTTTTGGCACCTTTGCTATATAGAATTTGTTATTGTCATTGGTCAGACATCAATTGTTCCCTGCATGGCTTTTAATTAGAAAGGTCTTCCCACTCTGAGATTATGAAAAACTTCTTTCAAATTTTCTTCTAGTACTTCCCCTCTAGTTTTCTCATTTAAATAGTTAATTCATCTGGAATTCCTCTTAGTTTAATGTAAGTCACTTTAGTTTTATTACATACGACTATTGTGTCAGTCAGGGTCTACTCAGGAAATCAAAGCACAGTAGGTATTTCAGACAGAAAGGAATCAATAAAGGGATTTGGTTAAACAGATCTCATCAGGAGAACACCAGGGTTCCATTGAGAACCTTTATGACAATGGTTCTCAAACTTGGCTGCAGATGCCCAGGCCATATCCCAGAGCAACTTCATAATAACCTTTGGAGGTAGGAGCCAGAATCAGTATTTTATTTTAAAGAAGCTTCAGGTGATTCCAAATTTGAGATTCACTGCCATTGAGCAAAGAGGTGAAGGGAACAATTCCCAGAAGAGTTTGTGAGCTTAGCAGAGTTTATTTGTGATTTGACTGTGAGTTTCAGAGAGCCCTGTGAAAGCATTTTAGGAGGTGGGGTTAGGTGAAATAAAGGATTAGAAAAGATGATGGCAGAGTCAAATACAGATTTGAGTTTGGAGAGGGATGAATATTCTCTAGGTTTTACTTGTGGTGCCAAAAGTACCAAGAGCCTCCTTCTCCCATATCAGAAGTCCACGACCGTTTCCTACATTTGTG